ATTTATAAAAAAATTAGTATTTATTTTTTAAATGAAAGTTTAATCTAAATTAATTACCAATTGTTACTTACTATTTATGAAATTAATTTTGGTACAAGGGTATTTAATGTATTTGATTATCACTAAATAGGATGCTAAATTCGTACAATTTTATTAGCTTTTTTTATTATTTTAAATTGTTTATTGACGTATTCAATATTTGGATGTGCATACGGGTAAACAGTTTTTAGGCGTTATTTGACAAATATAAGTTAGCTTTTTTAAAAGAGAGAACAAAAATATAAGATTTCTAAAAGTAATCACATTTATCTCCAACAGATTTTACATTTTAAAGATTTTAACATAAATTATATTATTATAATATTCTATAATTTATCATCTCAATACATTTTTTTTAATTATAAGCAAATGGTAACTCGGTCTCATTCATAGAATTGAATAAATGAATGAAATAATCATTTCTCTCTTCCAACATCAAGTTTTAAAGAATTTTATATATTTAAGTTTTCTCGATTATTTTTTAGTTTAGAAAATATGATAGCAAAAGAGCTGGAGCATTTTAGAGAACAAAAACTCACTTTTTTATTTTGGAGAAGTTGTTGGAGATGCTCTACTTATTATTATTAATTATGAGTAAATATTAATTATTAATAAATATTAACTATTATTTATTCATAGATAATAATTTATAGTAATTAAAAATTATCAATTAATTTTAATTTATGATAATCGGGTTATCGGTTAAAAAGTTTGGGGTTATTTTTATTAATGATGATAAGTTACAGGGTTTGATTTTGGTTATATGTTTAAAATGTTTTAACCACCACCCCCTCCTTATTTTAAATTCATGTTAAAATGAGGTTTTTATGTTCTCTCATTGGGATGGTGTGAGCAAGTAAAGGGAAAAACAAAAGAAGTCTTTATGTATGTTTTATCTTGTGTGCGAAGCAAAACATAAACCGTAAGGAGAAGAAGAAACTGGATTCTGTGACTTTTATCTGAATACTTGTTGCTGGTTGTCTTCATCTGTGTGATTCTATAAGGTGAGTTTCATTTACAAACTTTCATCTTAAAGTATTGAATTAGAACTGTAGGGTTCTTTACATGGGGAAATTATGAAACTGTTTTTATGCTACGTTTAACATAATTTGGTATTTTGATATGTTTATATCAAATGATTGAAATAGAGTGACATAATCCGGAGAGATGTATTTTGGGATAAGAGTGATATAATTAGGAGAAGTGTATATTAGCATAAGGGTGACATAATCAACCGAATGTAAAAACTGGGTTTGATCAAGTTGATAATTGTTTGTCGCATCATAATACTTTGAATTATCGCATATGTGTGATGCGATGACTTGGGTTATCGCATCCTATTGATGCGATAAGTTATTTTCATCACACCATTGTGATGTGAGAAGGAAGTTTATCGCATCCTTGTGATGCGATGACTTGGGTTATCGCATCTTATTGATGCGATAAGTTATTTTCATCGCACCATTGTGATGTGAGAAGGAAGTTTATCGAACCCTTGTGATGCGAGTAGTTGTGTTTTGTCGCGCCAATGTGACGCGACAAATTGGGTTTGTCTCACCCAATGTGATGCGATGAAATGGATTTTCGCACCGGTGTGTTGCGAGGAAATGATGTTGTCTCACCCAATGTGATGCGAGAATATTATAATCTTATCTATGTGATACGAAAAGTTTATATATTATGCGTTAAAGAGTATATTTGATTGTTTGATGTGATAAAAGGGTGTTGTCTTATTATTTTGATGTGATAAAAGAGGTTAGTTCTGATAAATTTTGTTTATTTGTTATTTATACAAATATAAGTTCTATAAAAGTGTTTTAGTAAGGGGCCGTTTACCAAACTCTTATTTGGGTAAGCGCTTGCCAAGTAATATTACCTTATCGGATGAATATGGTAAGGACCACGAATCTAACCCGGTAAGAGCGAGAAAAGGACTAAGAGTCTTACCCGGTAAGTGAGGGAGACGACTCTTACCACGGTAAACGCTTACCGGGTAAATTGTTGCATACCATGTTGTTTTTGTAGACTAAAATCTTACCCAATAAGTAAATAAAAGTGTTAAATTTTATCGATAAACACCTATCGGATAAGTGTTTGGTAAACGGCCCCTAAGTTTCATCATGTAATAGCAATCAAAGAGATCTATCACTAGACCTCAAAGTCTAACCCTCATTTTGGTGTTTTAAAATGTGCATTACAGGTCAGTCACTATCGGATAATAAGGGGAAGGGAAATTATGAAGATTATATGATTGCTTTTTGATGATATGATATCTTTTGTACTTGAATATTTGTTATGTATACAAGTTTTGTACTGGAAATATATTAAACAAATTTGGTAGCTACTTTTGTAGTGTAGCTTTTGTATATTTTGGGACTGAATATATTAAGTTGTATTTAATAATATATGAAATATATGGTTAGATACAAATGTGATATTGAGATGTTACATAATTATACATTATTAATTTAACCACACAATAGATATTCATAATAATT